AGTAATCAGAGATCCTCCCAATAATGATGCTTGAGCAATGACCCGCATAACCTATTCTGTTATCGTTTACCGCTCTCCCACCTTATAAAACACGCTCTTCCCATTCTTTAATAAACAAGTCAATTACTTTATTGGTTCATTCCTTTGTATCTTTGATCTACTGTGATTTATTTTCCGACTATGAACAACACCAACATGCAGTCATATATCTGCGAGCTACAAGATTGACTGTTGAAGCACAATACGCGGTATCAACAACATGATGTGCTATATTGTAGAATGTATATGTCAGGAACTACTTAATTGCAAGGGAATCGGGATAAAAACCAGGTGCTTGTACTAGTAGGAATCAAGTAACTTTATTGATAAAACTAGGGTTGATGATGAGAAGCTGTATGGTATATTTATAGACCTAGAGATGAGTACAGCTATGGAGGGTAAACATGAGTTCTTAGGGAGTCATGCGTCTGCGAGGCTGTAGTCATCACAGCTGATTTGAATGGCATGATCATCCATTGTGGTTCATTTACACGATGACAATCTGACCTGTTGACACGGCCAGTTTGTTGAACGACCTGCCAATCTCCAATTTGATTATAGTACAATGTCACTCATTCGGTGTAGCAGCGACAGTTTGCCGAGTTTGATGTTGATCATGTTGTGACACAATCAGCAATGTTTGATGTATACAGTCTACATTGACCTAAAATGACCATGCAGTCATACCAATGGAAAAGTCATGGTTTTGAAATACTGCAACAACAGACTGTTGGATGCTGTTGTGTCCGAGTGATCCAAAACATGACCAATCGAACAATCAGTCAAGTATTTGGTATACAGTGACAGTATATGCTGTAGTAATGGATTGTATGTGATGATAATTATCCATAATCAGGGTGATAATCTGACAATACCTGATCACTGGATACATCACCACAATTGGGAATATCAACACAGCATACTAGTCAAGTTGATTTTCCACTAACAGCAATGTTTGTGTACTGATTCGCCCTACAGGGTGTTTCTGAGTTTGCTCACCCTACATGGTGTACTTGTGTTTTCTAAATATCCATTTGGGAACTGCCGATTGTCACCCTTGAAGATACTGTCATTATAAAATGGCAATCATGTACCAGACTCAACCCATTTTCATTACACTACTTGATACAATGTTGATTACTCTAGAATGCGTTATACTTGCGTTACAAGCGGTTGCTGCAGTTCGACTTGCATTAGAATCACCAATTGGAGCTACTGATCAATCAAACAATAGGCTGTCAAAACGATCACCCGTTGAATTGGGTGATGATGTTGCTCAATGTTACGCAATGAGATCCAATATTGATGGAGCTGATGTATGTATCATGTCATGCATTGTAGTTTGATATCAATTTGCACCACGTTGAATCAATCTCACACTTGTTTAAAATAGTTGGATTTACGAGTCGATTCATCAGTTTCCGGTATAATGGTACCACTTCCTAGTTCAAGCAACAATGTAGGTTCGACTCCAGAAAGTATTTCAAGTGGGAAGCCCGTTACTATAAAGTACAAAGGCAATGAGTATAGAGGAATCAGTTCCACAGCCGTTGTGACGATTCCAAGTACTAGGATAACTGGCATCAATTTACCAGTACTATCAGTTGAAAAACAATCGGCAGGTCTGGTTGGTATTGGTGGAAACCCCGATCAAGGAGTATTTGGATTTGGCTACTCCTCGTTGTCAAATCATCATTCACGAGTCACTGCGATAGATGCTTTGTACAATGGTGGTGTCATTCCTAAAAACGAGGTTAGTATTCAACTATGTCCGTATAAAATGCTTTCAAAAAGCTCCATCAATATAGGAAGTACGGATGTAACTCCAAAATGTGGAACGGATGGAAAAAGTGTTGCATGGGTACAATCACCATCAGACGATCAATTTACTGTCAACATCAAGAATATACTAGTCAATGGCAAACAAGTGAAGCTGCCGGAGGAATTCCAAAAAAACCAAGGAAAGAATGGACGTATTTTGTATTCATATATACATACATGCTTTGTATATATGTATTTTCCTAGAGTAGTCGTGGCAGCGTTGGTTGATGCCATTGTTGGTAGTAATGCGATCACTGTCAAAAAAACTAAATCCGAACACAAGCACAAGCTCAGCGAAACAGAAATTGAAAAAGTATTTTGGGAAAACCGTCTAATCCTCAAATCCAAACTTAATATCAATTGGGGCAGGCTGCCGTCGCTTACAATTACAATGTTTGCTGAAAACCCCGTGACTGATGACAATCGCAACTCCGTTGTAACAATCAAACTGGGTCCTCGAGACTATCTACAAAGAGTCAATTCCAAAGAATGTAAATATTTGACAATTGTATGCAATATGTGTTGTTTGATTAACCTGACTAATATACATGTTGGATTATAGCTAGATTTACTGTAACAGCTGGTTCAAATGACAAAGCAGTTCTTGGTATACCATTTATGAACCGACTTCTATTGACATTTGATCGAACACATAAACGCATTGGGTTTGGTCCTGGATGTGGATGCGAAACTGCGACTGATGGATATCCTATTATTTCAAACAATGATCAGGTGCTCTGGCCATTAACACAGTAAGTTGTTTGATACTGATGTGTGAATTGATATTGATATTGATACTGAGTTTGATGCATATTGTTAGATTGCCTAAACAACCAAGCGGTTCAAGTTCAGGTGACACATCTACTCTCAGGAGATCATTTTCGCGATTTGGTAGTACTCTCCGTGATAGTATTCGTCGTAGTAGTAGGCGGCTAAAGTTTAATTACAAGAAAACTTGATGGCTAAGCAGATATAGTAATAAAACTGGTTATTTGTTGAATGGATGGTGATCCTGATTATTTATAGTTGGTATGATGTACGTTAGGACTCTTGGTGTTAGCAATCATTAACTACAACTGATCAAGTAGTTGTGTCTGAAAACACTCACCACACTGTCAAGAGTCACAAACAGACTCACAATAAACTCGACTGAATACAATTCATTAGTGAAAAACTGATACTATATGTATTTTTAATGTGGTGTATTCATGTTTGATTGTGTGATATGTTCAAGCCGTGCATGTATTGGATCAGTCCAGTGTGTATCGTTGTTTGGTACACGATGATCACGCATACTATTACATTGGTAATACATGGTATGGATTGAATACACATCATGATCGCATAGCTCAGTCACGATCCAATTGGCATGAACAGTCGAGTCGTGTAGTTTGGGTTCAGCTCGACACATTTGTATTGTCAATCGGACAGAACGTCAAAAGTGAGTCATGGTCAACTGAAACAATCAACAGACTGGGTCCAGTATGTGTAGTCGCACTGGGTTGTATATATTGACTACAGTAAACAACTCGAGTGTCACTTTACTGGTTATGGTTATGGTGACATGACAGCGTTTGATACATACAGCGTTACAATGCTGGGTCGGCAACAATGCGATGGAACTGGATGTGCAATATCAAGACCATGTCCAGAATACGTGATATAACAACAATTTGCAGCCATATTAATGTAAATGGACCACAAAATAACAGTGTTGGTGTGTGATAAACAGTTGCATTACTGACATGTGTCATGATTGTTGTTGAACTAGATTGCGATCGTATCCGTGATTCAGAATACAACAAATGTGTACAGAGTTGTATTGACAACATTGACAGTCAAACACAATACATGAATGTGGGTTCAAACTTGGTGATTGTACAATGTATGATTACTAAGAGTGCACAAAGTGTAGATTCAACACTATAGTCTGATTGTGTGTCATATGATGGTTGTTGTATATCAAACACGCAATGCAGTCAATGTGTAGTAACCATTGTATATTGCAATGCAGAACACAATCACTGCATGATGAATACGATTGTAAATCAAAGCGTTTGTGGGGTTACACAACACACTCATGAAGGGTGTGATTTTCAATATACCTGATCAAAGGGTCGTAAAAGCATAGTTCAATTGGCGCGAAATCAAATCGATCAATATGATATTATGGATAGGGAGCATCATATTGTCTAGTTTGATATTGGCTCACTACAAGCAATCAAGTAACCCTGTATAATTGGTTAACCTAAAAGGGTTAGGGTTGGTTTGCTATACAAAAAATACAAATACAATCGATTGAGTTCAACTTTATAATCAACATCAGTTTCAACACTCTACTTTTGTATTAGTCGTTTAAACCCATTGACCAATCTGATGAAATTGGTTGATATTCTATTCGTATTGAGTGTAGCAGCAGCCACTAATGCAATACTGATACCGACTAATAACGATGGTTCACTCCAAGCATCAGGCACTTCTAGTCAAGTGTCTGGCCCAACTGATGAGCCCAGTCCAGGCACTTCCAATGAATATCAGCAAGAACCAATGGATGTAGTTGATCCAAGCACTTCCAACCAAAATCAACAACAATCAATTGATGAACTGGGTCCAAGTATTTCCGAACAGGATTGGAAAGCCATAATTGATAGACCCGATCCAGGCATTCCGGAAGGCTGGCGAGACTTGGTTGATGCAGTCAATTCAAATATTCTCAAAGACCAGCAACAATCAATGAACCAAGGCAAGTCTGCCAAACGAGGTCGGAAACGGCCAATTGATCAGTCCAATCCAAGCACTTCCAGTCAACACCAACAACAACTAGTGGGTCAAGGCGAGTCTTCAAATACTGCTTCAAATCGAGTGATTATATTAAGCCAAAAATATCAGAAAACCTTTGATGGTATAAAGAAAAAACTTGTAGCGTCTAAAATAATACAAAAGAAAAAACGCAAAGAATATTATAAATCTATGGCTCTTGGATACAGGCAATGGTCGGTGTTGTCAATGGGCAAAGAGATACACGTATCAAAAAACAATCCAGAGGACGAAGCCCGATTGAAAAAAGAGTATAAAGAGGCATGCAGAAAAGCGTCCATTTTCAGACAAGAATTGAAAGCGTTTATGAAAAGGCGTGGTTTGAAATTTGAAGAACCGAGTTCAGATTCAGATTCAGATTGATGATTTGCCAATCAATTTGATTTTAAATAAATTTAAACTTTCTGATGTGTTGATATTTGTCGAGTATTGTGAATGGATCAACAACCATATCATTGATTGTATACTGCGTTGGATATTACATCAACAGTTACTGGATTGTTCATTGATACATTGACTCGGCTTGTTTCATATCACTACCAAACCATTTCCTGGATGGAATACGTCAATGTTTAACGTGCTCAATCACATTCACAGTATATGGTTCTAAATCTGGACATTCGTCAACATACTTGTATATATTCTGGGTTACTCTGGGTAAATACACTCATTTGCATTTCAGTATTGAATGCTGTCAAGAACTGGTCCATGGATGTATTGTGAGGTACTGCGAGGTATTGGGTGCCAAGTATGACAGAGTGTCTTTGGATGTAAACGATCTGTTTGAAATCATTTGGTAGTTATCGTTACATTTGATGATGCTGTCCATTTGAGTGTTTTCGAAAGTTGAAATTCGCATCCCCAAACATTCAACTTTGTAACCCATTTGTTCGAGATGTGCTTGATTTTGCATGGTCGTTTGATACAAGATATTCATCGACTCACCCGTCAATGGGTAATATCATCAGACTTGGACAATATTCACCAATAATCTTTTAAACTCGTACAGTTTGTAGTGTTGTCATAAAAGTCATGGTTTTGACACATTTTCATCAAGTTACCAGCGAGTATCAATGAGTATCAATCAACAAAACTGATCTTGTTGGTCGATACACTATTGATGCACTTGCATATGAAACTGTACGAATTCAATCAATGTTTCTTGCACGGTTGTCAAATGTTCAGATGAAATCAATTTCATGGCAGGACACAAAATGTGACATTATCAAATAACAACCAATACTAAACAATCGGGTTACCACATGATGGCTCATTTGGAATGCAAGTTGAATCCATTAGTGGTCATTGATACCATCAAGTGTATTGGCAAATACACAATGGTTTGTAATGGTAAATTGATTTCAAACACATCACCGCTCATTTATCACTGGATACATATTTGAAAGTATCCAATATCACTTGATACTGAATGTCCAAGTGTCTGCTCAGAGTTGCTCACAATATTGACGATATTACAACAACATGATGATTCAAATTTGGAAAAAGTAACATTGGCTTGTTTAATCTTGAATTACTGAAATCAAATGGTTTACAATGATCCGATCATGTCAAATATAACCGATTGCAATTATTTTGGAATCATGTCAGATTATGACAATCGGTTCGAGTTGTTTGAGCCAATACAGTGTGATGGAGTGATGGAAATACTCGAAATACACAATACAACTCTTGCAGCAGTGTATGAAACTATCAAGCATGACATGACATGCCATGAAGGGTGTGGATTAGACTTGATAACAATGTGTACGATTTGGACTTTTAAATTCGGAAATAGCAGCTCTGTTCCAACATCACATTGATTGTAAATATCGATGTTGTTTAACCTTGTACAAATGACCATTTCACATGCAACTTTAGCCTGATATCGAGTATTTTCAAATGAATGCAACCTTGCGACACTCGTTTGACTCGTTTGGCTCGGATTCTGGTTGATATTTACAATATCGATGCAAAGTTACATTCCAGAATGAACCTGTATAATCTGATGTGGTCAATCGTTTGGTTTTATTGTTATCAGTCATTGACACCAGTGATTGCATTGATTGCAAATAGTAGTCCAACTAATCATGCATAAACAAATACCAGATAGTCACTGATAAACTGATAGTATCCAATGTATACATGACACATTGTATAGTTCCATTTAATTGCCAGCAATGTGTGATTGGATTACTCGAGTCATCAAGCAGTTTTCAAACAGTTTTCAAGAACAATCAAGTCATGTCCAATAAACTGTCTGATGTGCAGGTGTTTTGGCATTGGTCCGTTGGTCCATTAGTACGATTGTTGGTTGGCAATTCGGACTTGTAAATGACAATTGATTCTTGATTGTTGCATTGGTGTCCATATGTATCCATATGTGACTCATTGTATACGGAACAGGACTGACAAGTGTGTCTGAATTGATGACAGATGATACAGTCTATCCAACAGAAAGTAATGCATTGATCGTGTCTGCGTGGTAATAAACTTTATAACTCACACTTCTGAATGTATGAGAATCAACTTTCAAACAACGGATACGTCCAATGACTCTTGCAAATGCATTGATAGAGTGTTGTTGAATAATTCGAGTGTTTACAAATCAGCATCACTGGAAATAGTTACTGTTATTCAGACAGTCAGTTGTCCAGACATTACAGTTGTAATATTACACATTTTCCATTGTTGCTGGATACCAATATGCCTACATTTAAAGATGAATGCTACCAACAAAATATTCCATTAGAACTGCAACTGTTGCTTCAAGATCATGGACATATCGTTGTAAATCGTTTCAAATATCAGTCCATTACCCCATTTTAAACCAATCCATCAATCTCTGATTCGGCTCGTTCAATACTCTCCAGCAACTTGC